AATAGCTACTGGGTCCCACTCCCCAGTGATCGTTAAATCTTTTAATTATATTATAAATATTTTAATTAAAAGCATAAACCAATTAAATTAGGTTTAGTTTGACATCTACCAAATCCTTGCCATGTAAGACATGAATCAACCCCCAGCAGATATTACTTTTCATTTTCGAGTTTCTCTTCACACATTTTAAAAGTTCTAACGCTTATAAAAATGTTTCTCTCTCCTCTCTAATGAATGTCGGATCTCACATCTCTATAAAAATGTTTCGTTCTCCTCTCCGATGAATGTGGGATCTCACACACCGTATTTTCTTTTAGCATACTATTAGAAAGTAGAGGTAGTCTTAGCTCGACCTACCCCAAATCTAGAACATGGGTCGCTCTAGGTTCCCATTTTAGACCCAAAAATTTAAAAAAGTTATGATTTTTTACAACATTACAACCATTTTCCATGACAACCTAGGACTGATTGTTTTGGTAGCGATGCATACATCACGTCATCCAACAGTACACAATGTCCCAATTGAAGAAATGTTCAGAATTGAATGCATGTGATGTTGGTGAGTGTGTATGATCCATCTTTCAATCCATAGAAATTAGATGAATTGGAGGGGGGAGATTGATATAAACCCAAAAGCCCACATTTGATATACATATCTGCTATGACCATTCTCATCACTTTCTCTCTTTATCCATTTCTTCATGCATGCACCTTCCTGAACCCACTTCCATTTCCCTTTGTTTTTATCCCAACCCACCCTACCCTTTCGTTACGGTGTACCATAGATATCATATTTGACATATGCAGTAGGTATTTTTTGTTCTTTCCATTTACTTTGTAATTTATTTGATGTTTCCTTTGCTTATTGTGGCGACTCTTCTGACTTTAACACCGTCTTCATCCCTTGCGACAGGGGCATAGCGCCCTCTTCGTTCACTGGAACTTCACCACCTGCTATGACGTCAGCTACTTCTCCACTGACTCCGCCATCCACTCTTGGTAATGGTGGTGCTATGAACAGAATCATTGTCAGAGATTTATTATTGTGGCTCTTCACCCACTCATGATGATCTATTTACTAGTCAGTTAAAATATGTTAGAGATATTCTTACTCGTGCTCATTTGCTCGATAGCAAATCAATCCACAAGGTGCCGACCCCACTCCATCTTCGCCCTTCTCTTTCTTTCTTCGTCTAACATACACGCTAGAGTTCGCGTTCTCAGTTTCTGCTCTCTTCTTCCTCTACTACTCTACTGCCACCACGTCCACCCTTCCTTCTTCACAACCACCCTCTCTCCCTCTGTTTCTTGCCCTTTTCTCATAATAGTCATCGACCTAATTCTGAAGTTTCTACTTTGTGTCTCTATAGCCCACAACCTATGGTTGTTTCTTAACACCTGACTGCTGAGGGTTCTCCTTTTTCTAGTTCTATTCTCTATCAACATCTTTTTAAATTTTTCAGATTCAAGCTTCACGTTCGTTCAAATACAAGTCTCAACTTGTGAGGTGTGTTAAGATACTTAACATTCCATTATGATTTACCATAGATACCTTGACCTTTTATCGGAGATATCTGTCTTCCATTACTATGTACCATAGATATCATATTTGACATTTTTTTTTTACAGGCAAATATCTTGTATCCATGTATTGTTATGTCCATTTACTTTTATAATTTATTTGATAATTATAAAGAGAGAATTTCACCAGTAGTAATTTTAGCAAATATTCTCACACGTGAACACAAAATTAGTCAAATTCAGTAGTCGAGGGGTTTGGAGGATGTCATTATCGACAGGACCAAAACGCTCTGTCCACATAATTTTTGATTACTTGTTGAGGTTTCCTGTTGAAAAGAGATTATATTATAGCAATAATGAAGACTTTGGAGAGTGCTATGCTTGTAACAAAGTCAATAATCCAGAAGGAAAGTTCTTTAAAAACCCCAAGTTCATGTAATTATTAGCGTAGGAGTATTATTTGTTATATGAGAGAGTGGGAGCTGGTTGGAGCTTCACCATTATTGTAGAGATCTGAACTCAACAAAGCCACACAGATGGGAAGGGCGCCTTGTTGCGACAAAGCAAATGTGAAAAAAGGGCCATGGTCACCTGAAGAGGATACTCAGCTCAAACACTTCATACAAACCTATGGGACTGGTGGCAATTGGATTTCCCTTCCTCACAAAGCTGGTATGCATCTTCCTCCTTCGGTATGTTACGAATCATGAATCTCTACAATGGTATTATATTGTCCACTTTGAACATAATCTCTCGTAGTTTTGCTTTTGGACTTCTCTAAAATGCCTCATACCAGTAGAGACATATTCCTTACTTATAAACCCGTCATCTTTCTATGTTCCAACGTTAAAATTCAAGCATTTTGATCGATATTAACTTAACTAATTGAGTTGTGTTGTTTGAATCAGGTCTTAAACGGTGCGGGAAGAGTTGCAGATTGAGATGGCTTAATTACTTAAGGCCAAACATTAAGCATGGTGAGTTTTCAGCTGAGGAAGATAGAATCATTTGCACTCTCTTCGCCACCATAGGAAGCCGGTAACCAAAAAGAACCCAGAAATTTCTCTCCTCTTCCCAGAAAAACCCTTTTTCTCAAACTTTTTTTTGATGAACAGATGGTCAATTATTGCTGCTCAGCTGCCGGGAAGAACCGACAATGATATCAAGAACTACTGGAACACGAAGCTGAAGAAGAAACTTGTGGGGATGATATCACCTTCTCCAAACACTTATACTCAATCTTTAACCCATCAAAGCACCTCCTTGAGCATTCCAAACCCAATGGCTGAACCATCTTCATATTCGTCATCCACTTCTAACGTCATTAATGGCAGTTTGGTGGCCAACCCTTTTGACCAGTGGCGCTATGGAGCCCTTAAAATGAACCAAATGCAAATGGGGTTTGAATTTGGAAGTGGGTTAGTCACTTCCAGTAATGGGTTTGAAGAGAATGATGAGAAGTTGATGAGCAACAACGAAAGTGAGCTGTTCTTGAAGATGGAGGAGGAGGAGAAGATCAAGAGAGAAATGGAAGAGAAGTACTTTTATTACTACTGATGAGGGTTTGTTTATGATTTTAATTTGGTTTAATTTGTTTGAGGGGATTTATGAATTTCATGTTATGTTGTCCAATTGTGAGAGCTTCAAACCAGTGAGATTTGACGTATAATATCTAAAAATTACCCTTAATTAATTCTCAATTAATAATAAATATGAATAATATTAGAATATAAAATGGAATTATGGGCTTATTTATTAGCAATGGACATTTAATCGAGTATTTCCTATATTTAGTTTAATTAAGTTAATAAAATTAAATTGTTTTATTATTATTATTTATTGAGAGTAGGAGGGGCAGCTAATTTTGTAATATTATATTACTGCCACATTAAGTTTTTAAATTGACATTACAGCTCAACTTGGGACCACCATCTTTAATTTTGGGATCTTTTGAGGTTGTAAATTTTCATACGCAACCCTATAATACCCAATGGATAAAATGCTCCTTTATTTAATCCATTTAACCAAATTATTATTTTTTAGTTTAATAATATGTAAAAATGAAAATTCAAATGTTCCACTTTAATCAAATATATATGTCTTGTAATGAGATCAGGTAGACATTAATTATAAATTTTTTAAACTTTACAAAAATATATAATATTAAATGATATTATCTACTTTCAGCATAAATTCTTATTATAAAACGACTATAAAATGCTCATTATACATTCTCAATATGAGACCCACTCCCAATAATCTTCAACAATTATTTCTTCAAACAAAGCACACTAGAAGTCCACTTATAAATTCATGATCTTCCACTAAATTAATCAATATGGGACTCACTCCCAATAATGTTCAACAATTTGATGTCTAATAAATTTATAGACTTTCATGATTAAAGAGTTCATGAATTTTAGAACGTTAGTGACCTAAAAGGCACAAACTTGAATAGTTAGATACTTGTTTTTATAAAATTTTAAAAACATTTTGGAAGGTAGTTAAATTTGAGAGACGAAAGGGGCATAAATAAAAAAGTTGGTAGACGTAGAGATTTCTAGTTCGTGTGGCTGTCAGAAACTGCGTGTCTCTCTGAAAGGGATTTGTGTGGGCTTGGCCCACTTTTCTCAGGTCGGTTTCAACTTTCAACCCAACCGCCATTACCATACATCTCTCTTATTTTTTTTAAAAAATAATAATAAATAAAATTAAAAATAAGAATATATATATATGCGCTTGATGTATCTCTAAATGTTGAAAATGACAAATAGATTCGTAAAGTTCCACTTTGTATAGAATATTTCTTGGGAAATTTTTTTTCTTTTTGATTAATAAATCTATTGAAGTTAAATTAATTTTATACCTAATAAAATATTAAACTTTTAATTTTTAATACGTCAAAATTAATAATTATTTCAATGTTTGGTTTTTTATTCTTGATTTTTGGTCTTTTGTTGTTAATTTTTGGAAAATTGGAGAGATGAAAGAAATGATTTAGAGAGATCAATATGTGGTGGCACAAAAACAAATAATTAGAATCAAATATAATAAAATTTAAAATATGAAGAAAAAAAAAGTTAGAGAGGGGATCTAAACTACAAAAATTAATGATTAAACTTGTAATTTTAATGTATGCAGACACTTGCCACTCTAATCTCAATATAACGAATAAAATAGAAAAGATCATGTAAAAGTAATACATACAAAGATATTCAATACACTTTTTGTGCAAATGAATTGTCATATTTAACCAAACTAATTAAAGAGGCAAAATTCACACGGTTCTAAGTCATCGAGATGAAATTACAAATTAAAAAATGATGTTATGGACTTAAATGTTAACAATAAAATATTTAAATAAAACAATGTCATCTAACTTAAGGACCGCAGAATGGATAATATGCAACTACTTGGCACTGGTTCTACGTGGTTCTATGACTTTTATCATGACATCATTGTAACCACACTATTGGGCCAGAAAAGGCAAACAAATGTAACATGGTAAGATCTATCCTCTTAAAACATCATAGCATGACTTTAGGCTCGACAAGGTTGGATGCATAGTACTCCTCTATGGATGACTCACGCGTGCGTGCATGGGCCCGCCAAGTGGGCTCACACACTTCCTGGACTTGTCTCGTCAAGCTAGCACTCGCTAATGGGTTGTTGCCGAATGCTATGGAGGGAAGGACCCACATAATAACATGACAAACATAAATGTTATAATGTATTTATCCGTACTCATCATATTGGTGAAATATCCCAATGCACATGACACAAATATGCATAAAATCCTCATAGCTTATAATGTTTGATGCAAGAAAAACTCCCCTCTATTTATAGCCTAATAAATCATGAATTATACCGCATAATTCTTGTAAATTCCAAGATACATAACATAGCTTTCATGACATGTTCTACAAAAGTTTATGCTATCATATATAATTGATTTAATAACAACTTTATACAATATGATATGATCACCAATATAACATAGCTTTTATACATGATATAAGTTATCATAGTACAACATAGCATAACATGAAATATATGACACATCATAACATAGCATCAAAACCTAGCATAACTTAACATATCATTCATGCATATAACAAGTAGAGGAGCCATGGGACATTGCATCATCATGTATAATACAATTCATCAACCAAGCTAATAGTGGAGACACTTACTTAATTGGCCCGAAGTCATTGGCTACCTTGTTGCTAGTGACTACTCCTTAAAATTTAATTTTATCTAAAGAGCCTCACGATCATAATTTAAAATTCTACTATATAAATTAGAATTCTAAGAAAATTGATTCATAATTTAAACTTAACTCAAAATAATTTAAATTAGTTAAAAATGATCATATCCAAGTTAGGCTTAGTTAGATTGAAGCGGACCTAGAATCATCAGAAAATATATGCTTTGACGGGCTCCAACCCACAAGTGACCTCCTCTAGTAGACTCCAATTCCCTACCTTCTCAACCCAAAAGATATGGAACTCTTATTTTATTTATTTCTTTTTAATTTTGAATTATTACAAGAATCTTTGTAAATGATAAAATTAATCCCCCATCTATTTTCAGCAAACTGTAAAAGCAATTGAGAATAAATCACGGTTTTAATTTAGTTGACATTGTGTAATAATTAAATAAACCGAGAGAAATATCAGTTTTCTTTCTTACTCTATTTCTTTTTAAAAGAAATATCAAACTACTCGTGGTTTAATAAAACTTAAAAATAATAAGGGGTCAGAATTCACTGTTCTAAAACTAAAGTTTACTAAGTAGAAGTTCATGAGGAAAATGGTACGGTAGGACAAACAAACAATGTTGGCCAAGTAAAATAATCCAGGTACAACTCACTCATACCCCTTCAGTATTTAATTACTTTTCCCCTACAACAATTCAAGGCCTTTCAAACTTCAATATGCTTGGACTGTGCTTCCTGTTCTTGCAAGTTAAGTGAACAGCAGATTTTGATTTACAGATCACCGATCAATTACTAAGAGATTGGATCTAAAATAATTGAAATCTACCCTTCAAAATCGAGGCAGGATGTTAAATTACCACTAATCACTAGGTTTATGATGGGAATTCTGGGCTTTATTAATTTTGCCACAAATTTAGCTAAATGTTATAAGGCCTTGAATTATTTGGCGTTTTCGATGATGTTCAGGAAGCTACCACTAATAATTTCCTTACAATATTTTACGATCATTGCATGGGGCTTTTCAATTATTTGAATGAATGTTTGGGGATTTCTTCTTCCCCCTTATATTTTTCAATTATTTTAATAATTTCCTTACCGTATTAATTTTGTTTTTTCCTTTCCTAATGGACCATTTAAGATGCTCCGAGAAATTAAGGTAGAAAATTCAGGCACACACTGTTCAAAGAAGAAATCCAGTCAAGTTTACTTTCTTAACCCTTTACATTCTTGCTTATGATCTTTCCCGAAATACTTTCAGTCTCCCATGTCCAACAGATTCAATTTCTGAACAACTTTGGGTTCATATTATTTCGTACAAGTAGAGGGAGTGAAGAAAAAGGAATTCCTAGATTAATTTGAATTTAATTCACATAAAACATACAATTGTTTATGCATGTGAATATCTAAAGTTGTTCATATCTAGAAATTCTTCAAAATGAACATAATAGTAATGAATAATTAGTCTATTGTACTAAAAAGAACACGTTAAATTAAAAAAGTCCGTTCAAAAACGAATTCTCACACACGCTAGTTTGTTTCATAAATTTTTACAAAATTCTTCCACATAAACTGTTTTAAGTCCTCTCTGTTTTTGGATAGAAAAACAGATGTAATCGATGAATTTAGCAGATGCATGTTGAAACATCAAATAAAAACTGAAAGTGTGAAGATCACGATCTCGATCTCTACAAAAATATACACATACACATATATATATAAAGAGAGAGAGAGAGCGGAAGAAAAAGAAGAGTTCCACAGTCCTACATTCTGATAAATGGATTGTATAGCTTAAGAAGAGGAGAAGATCCAGATTTATGAGGAAATGGATTACCTGAAAAAGCCGTACGGGGAGGAGATGGCGGCGGTGGCGGAGAGAGAGAGCCAAGATGGCATTCACTTGCAGAAGCACCTGCACCTCAGTGGCCTTGTGCATTTGAAGAGAAAAGAAGAAGCAAAGCTGAAGGTGTAGGTGCAAATGCAGGAGAAGGCTAACAATTTGGCCATAAATTTCTGGTGCGTTGTGTCCAAACGTGGGAGAAGATTATATAATCAAAGAGATTCGGAGATTGCGAGAAATGGAGCCAAGAAGTGGGCGGGGCGAGGCGGGGCGGGCGTTAGGGCAAGGGAGGAAGAGATAAGAACGCGACGAACTCGATTAATTATGGTACAGTACCAGGACTGATGTGGTTCTCTGGAATTGGCTGCTTCACTTTGCCCACGTGATCCATACCATCCTCCCCACGTGGGTTTTCTTCCTTCCATCAATCACCATTCGCCACGTCTTCATTACCACCTGCTCTCCACATGCTGCCCCCCCTTCCTTTTTCTTTTTCTTCACTTTTTTTCTGTTTCTGTTTCTCTTAGTATAAATAAAAATACTATTTCTACAAAAAACTAAAAAAAGCGGGGTAAAAATAAAAAAGAAATGATTTGCATGGAAGCCCCTGGAATAATTGGGTGGGCGTGACCATATACGACAAACGGATTTTATTCCATCTACAAAAAGATATATATATTATATATATATATATTTATTCATTTTTTACTGCGCTTACTAAAAGACAAATATACCCTCCTACGCGTGAACTCCACAGATTCTTCTTCGTCCTTCATTTTCCAAAATAATAATAATAAAAAAATATATCAAAATTTAATACGAACCTTATCTCAAACTAAGCGAATTCAATTTCATATCATAATTCAGGTGGTACGGACCTAATCTCAAATTATGTAATCCATGTGGTACGAACCTTATCTCAAATCATATTCGCGTTTGATCTAACACCGCTCATTTGATATTTCATATCTCAAACGGATAGGATTTCGTAGCGTAAATTAGATGCAAATATTATATTTATACCATAATATAAATTTCCTTTTCAGGTAATGCTGGATTTTTATAACATATTTAAAAAACAATTAGTTACTAATTTTTTCATGAGTTTAAAAATTTTCAAAAAAAAAAAAAAAAAAAAGAAAATTGTGTATAAAACGAAGAAACGTGGTATCTGGGAGGAGCAGAGGCAGGGACGCGACCCGAATGATCGGGGAGAAAAGAAAGGGAAATCAAATAATGGTGAGGACCGTACAGTAGAAAAAAGACAAATATACCCTCATCATTAAATAATATAAGGGGCAGATATTTGTAACAAGTGGATTCATAATTGATTGATTTTCCTCGCTCCTTGGTCGTTGGTGCATTAAATTTGGAAATTGTTTTTTGTGGGTTCCTAAATTTCTGTATTCAGTGGCCCAAAACTGACAAATAAAACTGGGCTATATATTGTTTGTAGGCCCAATCTAAATCTCAAATACTATGTACTATGGGCACTAACGAACGTTTTGCGTTCTTGTGTTTAAATAAAGATGGAGGACTAAACAAACCAAGTTGAGGTCGATGTCGAAGACGACGCTCTAAAGCTAGCACATCAAAATTTAACCAATCCAAGAATTTGAAGGTTCGATGGCAGAGGCTAGAAACTAGTCTTTGTAGAATGCCGTGAAAATATTTTGTTGGAACGTTCAATGGGTGGGAAAGCCCTAAATGCGGGTTACGCCATAGATGTCTAAAAATAGACACATCTTTCGATATTTTTATTTGACAATAAGACTTTGGGTTCTCTTGAGTGAAGTTAAAAGTTGAGTTAGATTTTGTAACAATCCAATCTCACATTGTCCTGTTTGGACTTTCTCTTTTGGGCTTCCCCTCAAGGATTTGCAAGGGAAAGGTTTTCACACCCTTATAAAAATAAAGAGTGTTTCATTCTTCTCTCTAACCGATGTGGGATCTCACAATCCACTCCCCTTCATGACCTTGTGTCCTGACACTCGTTCCTTTCTCCAATCGATGTAAGACCCCTACCAAATCCAGCGTCTTATTGGCACACTACCTGGTGTCTACCCACCTTCGGAGAACAGCCTACTTGTTGGCACATTGCCCAATGTTTGAATATCATTTGTAACAATTTAATCCCATCGCTAGTAGATATGTCTCTATGTCCCAAGTGTCACGTCGGGTTAAGTGGGTGTCTGATGTTGTTTTGGAACAAAAGCCTTGATGTCTCCATTACTCGTTTTCAATTAGGCACATTGTACATTAATAGATGAAGATTCAACAGGTGTCCATTCTAGGGACATATGAATCAATCAGTCTAAAGAGAACAGATTCTTGAGACCCTGTAGGGAGGCTCAATAGTTCTCTAAATATCCCTTTGATAAATGAATGAGACTAAACTAATAATAGCAAGCATTTACCCAAAAGTGAAGCACGCGGCTTGCCGATGACCGACTTGCCATGGAAGCTTCTTAGCAGCCTCTGTGTTTCACAGACCACATTAAATTAATTGACCCACAGATTACGCACTACCCAAGTAAACGCTTGACTTCACTTCATATGTTCAATTTTTAATCCAATCAATTCAACATCACATGCCTATCTTCTTCTCAACTTTATTGAGTGAAAGCCGTGGAAGCATCGCCCAGTTTCCGCCGCTATAAATACTCTGCAAACCACTCCCATTTCTTTCACAAACCAAACCCCAAAACTCCAATTCCATCCTAACAATGGGCGAGGTCATTTAACTCATTCATCTTTCTTCCAATCCTTTCCATTTTTCTTCTCATACTCATTTGCTTTACTTTCTCTCTGTTTACAGAAGAAGAATGAAGACACCACCACTGCTGTGTTCAAGATCGACATGCACTGCGAAGGCTGCGCCAACAAAATCAGGAAGTGCGTCCGAGAAATCGAAGGTATTAATTCCCATCAATTTTTGCGTTCTCTTCGCTAATTTCTTTTGGATCTAAAGCTAATTTCTATTTTTCTTTTTTTGGAAGGCGTTGAGAGAGCGAGAGCAGACTGGGAAGCCAACAAGCTGACAGTCATCGGAAAATTCGACCCCGCCAAGCTCCGAGAGAAGCTCGCTGATAAAACAAAGAAGAAAATCGACATTGTCTCGTCGGAGAACAAGAAAGAAAAGGAGTCTAAGAAACCGGACGATAAAAAACCAGAGGAAAAGAAGTCCAAAGACAAAGAGGTGGGTGAGGAACTAACGTGCGCTTCACTCAAAGGCGCATGTTAGACAACAATCCAACTGTCAACAGTTAATTAATTCGAATTCTTTAAATTATTTTACTGATTAATTGTTATATTTGAATTATTCCGACCAGACTCCGGTGACGACGGTGACTTTGAAGGTGGAACTGCACTGCCAGGGCTGCATAGAGAAGATTCACAAAGTGGTATCCAGGACCAAGGGTAAATTTACTTTTAAATTTAATCAATTACCTTATCATTAAATTGAATAAAACAATCAATGATTTTTTCTTGAATGGGTGTCCCTTGCAGGAGTGGAGGATATGGCGATTGAGAGACAAAAGGATTTAGTAATGGTAAAAGGAAAAATGGACGTGAAGGCTCTGATAGAGAATTTGGAAGAGAAACTAAGGAGGAAAGTTGCAGTGGTGGTGCCGAAGAAGGACAAAGACGACGGAGCTAAGGGAGGAGACAGCAGCGACAAGAACAAGAGCAGCGGAGATGCTGCTCAACCGGCAAATGGCGGTGGCGGGGGAGATGGTCACAGACTTGATCACATGGCAGTTCCAGTTTCGGGATATGGGTACGGGTACGGGTATGGTGGAGAACATTTACCTTCGGTTCAAATGTTCAGCGATGAAAATCCAAATGCTTGCTTGGTTATGTGACAACCGATATAGTTTCTTAGAAATGTGTACCTTTTCATTCAATTCTTTTCTGTAAGGAAACATTATATATCAATTATCGTTGAGTTATGAGCTTAAAGATAAGCGTCTTGAAAGATTCTCAAAGTCCAAAATGCATACTCCGGAAGTGAAGTGAGAGGTGGGGTTTGTTGGTGGCGTCCTTCCAGGAAAGACAGAGACCTTTTCCATTAAACCAAGTGGAGGAAAGAAGGAAGAGTTGGATAACGCAGTCATGCACCTCGCTAACATACCTTTCTACCAATAATTGAGGAGTGGAAATTTGGAATCTCACTTTTTCACCCAAAAACAAAAAGGGCTCTCATTTTCCTTTGAATTTCAATACCTCTTTTCGTCTCTTTTTTTGTGTAGGGACAAGTTCATCTGTATGATATCCTTCAATCCCGCCATTCTCATTCAACTGTCTTTTGGGCTAATCTTTTCCACATTCAAACACAGTAACAACAATCAAGCTCTCCTATGAAATGGAATTTTCTTTCTAATACCTGAAAATACTTGATTATTATCTTTTATTCCACAATCCTTCCTCACAACGGACCAGCATTAGGCGGAGCCGGATGGAAAAAATTAACCAAAATAATTGACCTCTTGACCGCCCCAAAGTTAATCTCAATCTATGTGAGATCCCACGTCGGTTGGAGAGGAGAAGCTCGAAAGAGAAAGCCTAAAGAGAACAATATCTACTAGCGGTGAACTTGAGCTATTACAAATGGTATCAAAGCCAGACACTAAGAGATGTGCCCGCGAAGAGGCTAAGCCCTGAAGGGAGGTGGACACGAGACAATGTGCCAGCATGGATGCTGAGCTCCAAAGAGAGGTGGATTGGAGGGTCCAATATCGATTGGAGAAAGAACATTTTAAAAATCTTAAGGGAAAACTCAAAAGGAAAAGTCTAAAGAGAATAATATCCGACGACCGGCTTTGTAACATGAAAAAGTGTTACAAAAGGAAAGGAAGAAAACAAAACTATCATGAGAGAGGAGAAAAAGTGCAAAGAGAGATGAACATTTAACATCATTACCCAAATGGATGGTTTCACTTTCACTACCACTGAGCGACCATTTATAGAAGTGGACATCAAAACTTACCTCTGCTTTCATAAACTTCCAAAAATCCGCAGAATTACGTCTAATCTGATAGCAACTAATAAAGATAGCTCCTTCCATTTAGCCTTAGATAGCAGCATCTCATCAAAATGACTGGTGGAGCTCAAGCCTCACCCCCCCTTTTTCCCAGCTAATGACAATAAGAATGTTTTTGGATGCTTATGCTAGGTCGAGATGCATCATCAACATTATCGTCGAGAGTAAGTTTTAACACCATGATTCTGGAGTGAGTTGACTAGAGCCCTGATCTTTGTGCGGTTTTTGGACCCTTTCTTCTCAGTTTCCTTGTTTATGTCCACACAAATCCCAGTTCCTTGCCCCTGTTCCAGACCGTCCACGGTCGTCTAGCCACATTCAAGTGAGCACTTGATGGAGTGTTCAACTGTGGCTGCAGTTGCTATAATCCGTCCATTATTCTATCTACCACATTGGCTGTTATGTATTTCAAAGATGAGAATAATCGCAGCACATGACACTTCTAAACTTTCATTCTCAGCTGTCATA